CCAGCTCACCAACTTGAATCCAAATAAATTTCATTTTTTTAATTACAGAATTTTCATCTCATCTTTAGACTAGGTTGGGAAAACTTTGCAAGGAAAACTCATGTTTTCATTCCTCTTTAGTTTCCAGCCTTACCTAAGAGAGGACTCTCATCTAAAACTAGGAAAAATGTTTTATCTTTGTTTACAAATAAAGTATTTGTTCAATACAGATACTTTACCCAATGAAAATAATGTCCTCTATAATATGATCAGTATTACTGTAAAATTGTCAAGTGCAGAGATTGTATGTCCCAGAAAAGAACGTGGGCTACATTTGCCATAGGTTCCTGTTTACAGTCAGAATAAACCACCTTATAATATTTTTATTTAATTTATTGTAGCAGTGTGAAATGCTTTCACACACCCCACCCCACCCCAGGATTCCCTAGAAAACTAACAAAATAACCGAACTTTCCTATTCTGTAGATAGGTCTTCCATGAAATGATGATCAGTGGCTTTTTGGAGGTGAAAACTATTCAGTTACAGTCCTGAATGAATTTTCTATTGAAGCCATTGAAAACTTCTTTAGGTTACCATGAAGAGTGATGTGAAACGCTCTATGCCTTCATAGTTCTTAATGTAAATCCATTAAAATATCTGCAATCTTGTTTTGTAGTTGTCAGTGACCAACACTTACTATTCTTTAATTATTTTGGATTTTAATGGAATGGCATTCATAATTCATTGATACAGCATATATTTAAGCATCTTAAACCTACAGTATTTTCTCTTTTAAATAAATATTAAAAATGCTGGTTTGAACAAACAGAGTTACTCTGATTCTTAGTTTTTAAAGGATAAACTTTAGTTAAGGTACTTCATATGCTTTAGAACAGACATATTATTTGGTTTCCGTTACAGTTTCATTTTCACAAGGTTGGGCCATTTATTCAGAGCATAAAGAGACATAGGTAATTGTGGAATATGTCAATTATATTAAAAAAATGACATAAATAGAAATACACGGGATTCAGACAGCTGAGGAATTGACTCCTCCCCATACACATATGAAAGGGATTTTAGTTTTATCAAGTCATTGTAGCATTTTTCACTCCCAGTCATTGGGGTAAAAGGATGCTTCCAACCAGCACCCCTTACTTTCAGATATCATATGTGTAACCCAGTGTGTCACCCATTTGGCATTCAGCATTTGGCATGCATCTGTGCTCCCACTGTTCTCAGCCCAGTTTTTGAGCTGGCACTTCTTCCAACCGAGTAACAATATCTGTAACGCGCTTCCATGCAGAGTGCCCATGTAATATGAATTGCCTGGAAAAGGTAGATGAGAATAGTGGGGCTGCACAGATGCAGAGATTAGAAATCCAGAGATGAAAATAAATACATTGCTTTCTCTTTAGTTTGTCCCCAAAGAGAAAAATGAGCCAATTGGCTTGAAACCCAAAAAGATTAATTCCCCCTGCAACCTCATTCCATTCTAAGCATTTTTCCTGAATTGTCAGACTCATTTCCTTCCTCTGCTCCCATCCCAAATGTCTCTTAGTCAAATATGATTTTGCTATTATTACTACTTGTATTACAGGAGGACTAAGTCACAGCTCATGACCTTCATATAATGCCAATGTCAGTAAAACACAGGATCGATGTTAGCTTCTGTCTTTTGGGACTGAGTCTACCGAGTCTAGAAATAGAAATAGATAAGCAAAGCATAATTCTTTGTTTCAGGGCTTATTCTGGTCACTTGTGAGGACCACAATTTACCTTTTTTTTCCTCTCCTTGACATACTACTACTGTATTTATTCATTTGTCTTCTTCTGTATATGGTTGTTTTCTTCTATATATAGTTACACAGTTGCTGATTTTGGGTCAGAAAGGAAATTTCCCCCAAGTCTAGGAACTGCTGAAGGCCTGTCAGGGCATTTTAATTCCCTCCTAATGCCAGGGCGGAGAATGATGGTAATATCATTGGCCTCTCCTGCTCTGTCTCTGTGGCATACTGTAGTTTTCCCAGAGTTTACCTTCAATCTGCTAAAGCTCTTCATTTGTGCCATGGCATTAAAATATCTTTTGTGGGGTTTGGAGTGTTCCCAGCATGAAATGGATGTTCAGGGATACCTCTGAATGAAAATTCGACAGCACAGCTACATGGAATTCCTAGGCTGGGCTCACCCCAAGGGGCACCATGCAGCAAGAGTTGGCTGACTCTGTAAGAGACGTGAACTCTAGTGGTGTTTGTGTTTGAGGTACAAAGCCTTCTCCATAAGCCCATGCCTCTATAGAAGGCATGACCGAAGAAATGCACAACAGGGCACAGCAGCTTTAAGACTGTGTATCCCATAAGGGCCACACCTGTCCGTTCAAGATGATATTGGAATATCAAGAGGACAAACAGATACATATATAAAAAATGCAGTGGGGTGTGGGATAGGAATGAACAGTCCCAAACAGACTGAAAGTCTTATTTTAAACAGGGAACCATGTCTGTCTGAGAATGAACATAATCTGTCTTCAATTGCAATAAATACAACTATGGAACCCCACATACTGTCAGTTTGCCATGGAAACATAAGGATCTTAAAGAAAAACATGGTTTCTAACCCATGTTTGGAGTTGACATTGCAGCAAAATTGAGCAAATGAGAATTGTTTGAAAGGCATAAATGAAACTAAAGAGCATAACAGATTATAAAATCACTAGCTTAATAAACGTAACAAAAAGGTAAGCACAAAAGAAGAACAACACAATTTTGAGGTTTGATGAGTGGGTCAGTAAAATGCCTTAGGAACAATCAGAATGTTCCATTTCCCAATTAAATATGTTAGAATGTGAGCAGCATTCAAATATATTTAGATTTATTGTAGCTGAAAATCATTCTTATTTGACCTAAATTGTAATAAAGGTAGCTAGCTGAGATATTTAAAGGAATAAAACAGTAAGTTTGTACAAAAAACAGAACTATATCACAGTACTCTGTTAGGAAGAAGAATTTAATATTTATGGAGGAGAAATAAATGTAACAAGACCAAAGAGCACAAAGGAGAAATGCTGATTATATTTATGGATGTGCATTGAGAGATGCAAAGCAAATGTAGGAAGGTGTATTTGCTCTTGACTAAGAGTGATAGAGGAACCTGACTTCCTAAAATAGGCATGCACTAAATTCATGGTACTGCTTTTAATATGCATTCAAGAAAAAGGATAAAAAAGCCATTTCTGACAGGAATCATAATTTAACTCTAATTTATTCTACCCTTAAATCCATAGATTTTTTGACGAAAAATTGATCTGTTTTTGAGAATGCTGTCCCGATAAAGCATAATTCTGAGAGAGAATTGACTTACAAGTGACATTGTGGAATTATTTCATTATGTGCTCCTCGATGTAACTAAATATTCACTGGTACTTGTGTGTCTAAATACAGGCAAGATTTTCATTTGGAAGATGCATGTCTCTGATCATTCCTTAAATTACATTTTCCTTTCTCTTCTAGAAAGAACAGACTCAAGGAAACAGCTTCTCTTTAATGAACGTGAGAACAAAGGCAATTCTGGGAAGCAAGTGTTCAGTTGTGGCAAACAGAAGCTGATTTCAGATACAGAATTGAAAAACTAGAGTAAATTTCCTCAAAGAAACAGTTACATATCATAACAATGTCGCAAATCTCATCCTTAGAAAGAGATGGCATTTTTTAATGTTCTATCTTAGCATGATTTTAACAGGAATAGTGATTTAGAAAGAGTTGCACTGATTCACATGAGCTAAGAATCTGCTCCAGCAAGTCTATGCACAATCACAAATTTGAAACCATATTGCTGCATCAGTCATTTAGCTAAATATCTATTCAGAAAAGAAACAGGAAAAGCTACAAACCAAACAGTCCTTTCTTCTTGCTTACAAGCAAACAAGGATTTTCTCGACGAACCTTTAGAACAGTTACAGTCTATTGCTCTTCAAAAATTGCTAACAGGAACATCTAACTTTTAAAAATAATTTGTAAAAATCACAAGCAAAGCTCCTATGAGTCCCAAACTCTTCTTGTTAATAAATAAAGAAAAAAAGCAAATGAAAACCAAGACACCGTCATGGTTTATGTGAACATATGGAGGGTATTAACATGTAAGGAAATGAACTGCGTGTACTTTTGGAGTAGAAACATACACATAAAGAAATTAAGAGTAAAGACAGAATTCAGGCCAAAATAGTTCACACAGTGCAACACAAACACATGCACCAGTCAGTTCCAGTAAATGTACTGAACATGTTGCCAAACAAAGCCAGAAATGTGCTGCACAGCCAGCTAGATCTTGTTTAACACGAGATGGGGATCACAGGGAACACAATGAGGAGACCAGATTTAGAGCTATTTAACAAAGCTTCCTTACCATGCCAAGAAGCTTTTTTTCTGCTGCCCTTTAATATTTGTCAAATAGAAGTGGAGTATACTCAGTTTGCTATTTAAAGACTCGTGTCAGGCTGTAATTCTAAATAGAGAATGTGAAACATAGATGTCTTTGGGAAGAATTTTCGTCTTGAAACTTATCGCTGCTTCCTGCTTCTTTAGCCCAAGGTCTGTTTCTCACTAACTTATGGCACTGTACCAATTTCTGAAGAACACATGCTAAGGTTAAAGGTTTCTGTCAAATCAGTTCCACATCAGATACCGTGATGTCATATGTTAAGACATCTCCAGGATTTATCTTAGCATTACATAGTTTTGCATAAAGAAAGAGGCCAGTCATTGCTACTGGCTTCATCCCTTTGCATAGTTCCACTGAAAGGAAAATGCGGGGTGGGGAAAGGATTATTTCCACAATAAAGGAATGAATGAACATGAAAAAATGATATAATAATGCTGGAGAAAAGGCTTCCTCCTACGAGGGGCAGATATTAATTGAATCAAATTAAAATTCAGTCGAAGCAGTGGAATTTTGAAAATGAATCATCGCTTCACACATTTATTTAGACCTTGTAATGTACCTTATTTGAAGGAATTCCTAGGAGTTAAAATCAGCAATATTCAATGAGTAGCCTCTGAAAAACCAGCAGAAAGAACACTCTTTTTTCTATGGATATGTGTTTCCAGATTAACTCTTGTGTCTAAGAAAATCCCAGCTCTGTTTGAAATTCTTGCTGCTGCTGCTTTGGCATTTATAAAAGTGTATTCTCTTCTGCTTTATAAGTGTAAATGCATGGTGCCGCTTTCTTACAATTAAAGTACTAACGAGAATCTCTCTTTTACTTGGCCACCTGTTTTTGCAAACCATTTAGAGACCTAATTTCTAATTTCTGTAGGGGGTGGTGAATTCAATCAGATTTGGTTGAAATAGATGTGAAAATTAAAGGAAATTTTTGTAGGGAGAGTAAGATCTATACCTGTGATTGCATAAGATGTATTTCCTTAGGAAATTAAGCTAAATAGATGTATACGTCCATGTTTGGTCTGGGTCTTATCAGGCAGGTTATTACACTAGATGGAAGTAGACACTAATCCAGTCCAGCAGTTAGTATATTCCCTACATAAAGAACATATGTTTAAATATGTCTATATTGATATGTGAGCATATGTGGAATAAGTCTATTGGAACAACACTGAAGTTACTTGCTTTCCTTTTTTTTTTCCCCCCACCTTTGCAGAGTATTTGGTGCTGCTATACTGCTGACATCCTCCCTCAACATGTTAATACCATCTGCAGCCAGGGTGCACTATGGGTGTGTCATCTTTGTTAGGATCTTGCAGGGCCTTGTAGAGGTATGGAAAAATATGTTATAAAATAACTGGTAAATGTGATAGAAGCTTGTTAGCTTTTAATTAGCAATTGTAACTCCTCAGGGGAAAATAAAAATTGCTTTCAGTTTATTACTGATTTTTGGTGCAGTGGATTTCAATGTATGAATTACAGCTATCTGATTTCCCTTCACCTATAAAATTACATAGCAAAGTTTTCCCTTGCTGAGAAGCTGGTGAGATATGTATTTAATACTGAAGTTCCACTGAAATCCTGTACTGCATAGGGTTTATACTGGTCCTATTCTCAAGAGTTATTTTCTGTCCAGCCTCACAGATTAAATCTATAACAAAGAATTATTCTATCACAGGCCCTGACCATGCTCTTGTTGGTATGAATGAGAGATTTACCATGATTTAAGAGAGAAAAAAATTGAACCTGCCTTCTAAATTTATTTGTTTGTTTGTGTCTTTACTGAAAAATAGATTTTTAAGCCTGTGATCGCTGGTTCTTTGTTCCTCAGGGCTACACACTTCTGTTGCATGAGCTGGTTTTAACTCATGTGCTTTATTGTATAAAAAGACTCCAAAAGAGGGTGCAGAATGTGCCTGAAAGTTAGGGAACCTTCAATCAAGTTCTTAAAGTATACCTGTGTAAATATGATCCATTCCTTTGCCAAAAGTTATTAATTTTTTCTACTTCTTGCATAGGAAACTAAACATCAAATTAAGAGAAAAGTTACTGTATATAACTATGCATACACCATAATTTTTAAGCATGAATTTTGTGACAAATTAATGTATATTTCATATTAAATTTTCTAAAATGTCAACATTGCAAGACGCCGTGATTTCTGTGTAGTTTTCCTATCATTAAGCTAAAGGCTGGTTTTGAAGAGAGACCTAAATATAGATGGTTTAAAATCAAACCAACTAATGTCAGCCAATTATTTGCTTTAAGTGCTCTAGAAGTTTCATTAAAGACAAAGGTAGTGAAAAACTTCTCTCTTAACATTGTATTTTTAAGCTCTTATTGATCTTATTTTCTAGTTTTAGAGCAGTGGAACAGTAATCTGTATTTCCTAAATTATACTTTAAATGTTAGATCAAAAAAGTTAGAAGGCCACCAAAGCTGAGGGTTGGAGAAATGAGCCCAGCATTAGAAAGACTCCAGAAAACATTCCAGTGTTTTCATCCTTCCTTTGACTCTGGTACTTGTGCATTAAGATTTTTTTTCTTTTTAATTCTTTGCAGTTCTTTCCTGGAAGGGGGACGGGGAGCAAAAGGAAATAATTATGTTTTATATCTGTTTCATAAGGCCTCTTTAATGGTTTGGAGTGATATACAAAACCCATTTCAACTTTAATAGAAATTGAAGTTTTTCTATGGCTGTGCTCAGACTTGACTATAGAAATGCAAAGCGTTCTCAACTTCTTGTTTGTAGCAATTAAAAAAGAATAAATCATGCAAAGACAATGAACTGAGTGATTGATCAGCATTAGCTAACTTATGGCACACCCATTCCCCAGGGGGTCACCTACCCTGCCTGCCACGGTATTTGGAGCAAGTGGGCCCCCCCATTAGAAAGAAGTAGGTTAGCAACCACTTCCTTTTGTGGTAAGTAACTTTGTATTTTTTGTCTTTCTTTCATTTGAAATGGAAAAGTATTTTGAGACTGAATTTTTCTCCCTTTTCATCCACACGTGTCTTGTTTTGTAGGTTCCTATGCAGGAGCTGTTATTGCAATGCCTTTAGCTGGAATTCTAGTGCAATATACTGGGTGGTCTTCTGTATTCTATGTGTATGGTATGCATTTTTGCTCATCTCACTCCAATATTACATGACCTTTCTAAAAATGTAAAAGCTACAATTAAGAGGCCAAAAAAAAAAAAAAAGAGAAGTGGGTCTGTAAAGCTAAAAATACAGTCTAGAGAAAAGGACAATGAAAGAACAGAATTTAAAGGAGAGAGTAGGAAAGCAACATTGTTAAATAAGAAGAGAAGCTAGTTCATGGTGAAACCTTCATCACTTCTAGTACAAGTAGTGCAAACTGCTATGCAGATCAATAGAATCTCAGATCATGTAACGTCGCACTTTCGTTTATAAAACTGTAAGTTTAGAGTACCTGCCCTGCCTAAGATGCCCTGATTTTTAACTGAAGACCAACATAACTTCATTCACACTAGTTGTGCTACCTTAACTTACACTGACGGAAAAAAATGTCCCGAAGGAGTTCATTCTGCAGTGTAAAATTGATGTGAATTAGGGGGAAACCTTAGAGAAATTTAATAAATTACTCAGGAAGTGCACTGCTATGTTGAAAACAATGCCACAATCTTGTATTTTGCAGGTAAAAAAATTAGGGCAGTAATCAGCAACAGTGGCTTAAAGCAGAATGGAACTTCATTTACAGTCTGGTGAAATGAAATAGAAGCTGTTTCATTGCATTGCATTGTACAAATTTATGTTAAAATATCAGTGAATATTCACTTACAGTGAAATAATTCTGTAAATGAAACAAAGAAGACTTCACTGTGGTCCAGCTCTGCATGTGTTTTGCACAAATATTGTTTGCAGGATCCGACTCTCTGTTAGAACGACTCAGTAGAATAGCAGTAACAACAATTGCCATTTAAATTTGTTACAATGGTTCACAGATTTTTTTCTTTTTTTGCTGCTTTACTGTGCATCTTTTAAAAGTCTTTCTTTCCATTCCAAAGGGAGCTTTGGTATAGTCTGGTACATGTTTTGGCTTTTGGTTTCATATGAGAGTCCTGCAAAGCATCCTACGATCACAGATGAAGAAAGGAGATACATAGAAGAAAGCATTGGAGAGAGTGCCAACCTCCTAGGTGCAATGGAAGTAAGAATACTACTCTTACACTTGTTTCCTATGAGATAGTAATAAAACCCAAAAAACCCAAATAGAAACAACAAAAAAAATCAAACATCCTTCTTCTTTATGACAGAAAAACATGTTTCAAACAATTGAATTTTTTTGGGGGTGGGGAGATCTGAAATCTGCTGATGGATTTCTGAGTGGGTATTTCTTTTGAATGAAGAGGATCATAGAATCATAGAATGATTTGGGTTGGAAGGGACCTTTAAAGGTCATCTAGTCCAAACCCCCTGCAGTGAGCAGGGACATCTTCAACTAGATCAGGTTGCTCAGAGCCCCGTCCAACCTGACCTTGAATGTTTCCTGGGATGGGGCATCTGCCACCTCTCTGCGCAACCTGTTTCACCACCCTCATTGTAAAAAATTTCTTCCTTATATCTAGTTTGAATCTACCCTCTTTTAGTTTAAAACCATTACCCCTTGTCCTATCGCAACAGGCCCTGCTAAAAAGTTTGTCCCCATCTTCCTTGTTAGCCCCCTTTAAGTACTGAAAGGCCATAATAAGGTCTCCAGTTCTTCTAGCAGATCACTCATGGAATTTATGCCTCTTTTTCTAGTCCAAAGTATAAAAAAAACCCCTCCAGCTACATTTGAAAGTGCAGCTTTATTGACACTTTCATAGTACCTTGAGTTCAAGTGGTTAATTTCCTTCCTATATAATCCCTCCTGGAACTCTTCCTAAAAGTACACTGGAGGAAAAGCACTACTCAGTGTCTCTTGAGGTCCTCAGAACATCAGAAAAAAAGCAAATCCTGACTATTCTATGTTTCATTTGCAAGAAAGACTGTAAGTTGCAACAGAGCATGCTAGGAGAGCCATAGGAACATTCCCCATTATCGTGGTAACTTTGCCGGAAACACGCTGTCAAGCCTGTCATAATCTGACTTAGTTTTGTACTGGATTAGTTCTCAAGAACTCCTAAAAAACCAGCTATGAACTCAGATAATTTTCTAGCCACTTAATCCTATCATGCTAAATAATAATTTTCTTATTTCTCTAACTATTGAAAAGCTTTAAAGAAACTATCACCATGCTTATGAATTCAAGAAAGTAAAAAGATTTTGGTTCTTAAGCCTCACTTCATCTGCTCAAATTTATACACCACCCATTCCCAGTAGACCCTCACTACCACACTTCATTATGTTTTCTAATTGGTCAGAATATTGGTTCTTGACTGAACTCAGGAATAAACCGTTTTTCTCTTAGTAAAAAACCCTTGATCAAGATTAAATAGGGAACTGGAAATATTACATAGTCATTTCTTTGATAGCTGACATTTTTAGGTGTTTTGAGGGAGTGTCTGGGTTGATATCCAATAGCATTCAGCAGCATTCATGGTTTCTTGTACCTATAAATGCTTTTGAAAATCTGACATGAAATGAGATAATTCAAAGGATGTCCATATAGTTCTAACTTGGGCTGGATAATTTCTGTCTAATTTTTATTGTTGTTTTTTAATTAAACATTTTTTGGAAGTGATTAGTTTGTATCATTCAGTTGCTTCTAAAATATTTAGGCTGAAATTTTTCCCATAGTATCAAGTTAGCTTTTCTGGCTGGCTTCACATTAATTAAGTCATACTTAATCCTTAGCTCTCACTTACGTGTAATTTAATAGGTATACAAGGTATTGCATCTATCCATCTCTGGGCTGTTTTTCTTTGAAGAAAAGCCAGTATTTAAATCAACAGTAGACTAAATTCAGCCTGAAACCTTGCTGAAGCGATTTTCAAACACTCATCTGGGTCTGGATCCCGTACTTGGATCAACACAGATGGGCAGAACACCAGGCTCATGGAGAGGTGCTGGGACTCAGCAGGATTGCAGTTCTGTCCATCTGTCTTTTTTTTATTTATTATGCAATTAATTTTAAAAGTACAAGAAAATAAACAAAAAATACATTGACCAAGCAGTTTCAGCTGAGGTTAGATAAAAAAATTATTCAGAATGCTGGGATTAAGATTTAAATGTTAAAATACATCCTTAAAATAAATCTGGATGAAATTGTGTACTTACAGTGTAAAATCTGACTGTTGCCTTAGATACAGCAACATTGTCTTGTAAAGTCATATTATTATTTTGGACTTATGTTCATATTTACATGATTGAAATAATGGCACTTGTACATGAGTGTTATGATACAGCTAGGTATCACTGAGTTTCTCCACTTGTGCATTTTGTAGTAATTTTTACTTGCTTATGTTTTAACTTAAATCTTGATCATCCAAATGTCGATGCGTGTACTTTATGATAATTGAAGTCACTGGAATTCAGATACATAAAGCGGTGCATATATGAGCTTGTTGGAGTATAGGTAAAAATAACAGATAAGAAAAGGGAAGATAGACAGTTGATAATGATCAAATGGTGATTGGATCCCCCTTTCTATGTTTCAGAAATACAAAACTCCATGGAGAAAATTTTTTACATCTATGCCAGTCTATGCAATAATTGTTGCAAACTTCTGTAGAAGCTGGACTTTTTACTTGCTGCTTATTAGTCAGCCTGCTTACTTTGAGGAAGTGTTTGGATTTGAAATAAGCAAGGTATGTAAAAATAATATAAAGCTTTTATCTTAGCTAAGTAAATATCAGAGTTACGTTTGTGTTATTTATTAGGAGGAGGAAAGAAAAGTGTTCTTTGTCTTTATCATGGGTTTACAAGTCTTAAATCTTATCCCTCCCAGTTACCGTTCCCTTGACCAGCACATCTAAGTGAAGTAACAACAATGACAAAGGAAGGTGAAGGCAGGATGAGATTTAGTGATGATTTACTTGGGGCCATATTGCAAAAAGACCTTCAGTTAAGTGCTTGAAAACAGATCATGCATGGTATTAGAAAGGTATCGAGACAAGCATTACACTTCTGTCCCTGACACCCCAGGGGATGCAGGATCCCACTGAAGCTGTAAAGAAAACTTTGACAAGTAGTTCCATTTTTCCAGGTGCATTTTACAAAGCAGGACAACCTAGTTTTAGGAAGGATAGTACAATTTATCAACTTTCTATATCCCCCTTTAATGTGGTGAGAACTGTTCCCCCTTTTTCACTTAGGAAGCGAAAGAGATGGTGGCAAAATATGAGACATAGGGATGATCTAAGGTGCCGCATAATTCATATGAATTTTGGATCAGACCTGTAATGTAAATATGGATACATGCAAACAAGCCTTCAGACTGTATAGGAAGCTTTCAACTAATACAGATTTCCTTCTTGTGAAAGTGACAGGGGCTTGTGCTTTTGTGAGACCTGTATTCTTTTGATATTGTTCCATGAGGTATTGGCACCCTAAATTGTGGTGGAAGTGACAATTAGATGAGTAGCTTCCAAAGTGTTGCCATATTATGGAGTATTGTCAAAATTATGTAATGCCATCTTGCATTTAAAGATGGGTTTCCATCTTTAGCTGGAGTTATTTTAAGAAGCTTTGCTATGCTTGAAACATCATCTGTTATGCATGCAATAAGAATGGTCATATCCTATAGAATTAAACTGATCATTTTGTTCTAGAAGACTTTTCTTAGAGTGTATTCAAAGAAATGCAGAGCTTTGTAAACGATGACAGCAAAGTCAGTTCTCACCTGCTGTGGATATGGATGCTCATAAATGAATAGTTATTATTTAGTCAGGAACACCTCAAAGCAGTAACTGCAATACCATAGTTAACTCATAGTTAATGTCTGGCTTATTGGGATAAACATCTATTAACATGAAGCTAGCTGTCACAACACAGTTGTCACCTATATAAACTGCAGTGAAATACACAATATCACAACTTTAATTGAAGAGCAGAGAAAATTGTTTTCTTTTTGTTCTCATGGAGTCAGTCTGCTCTGGGCACTGATGTAACTCAAGTCAGACATCAGGCCAGCTGGTACACTGTTCAGACAGGAATTATGCAAAAACCCCTGTGCTTAAGCACTTTTTCAGATATACACAATAATCAGAATTCCCTATTAGAACAAAATGCCGTGTGTACTAAACCAAACTATCTGCAAGGCAGTTATGTTGACAGGAGATAGCAGGTGGCAGTTCGTGCCATGCTCACAGATACCCTATCCTGTTTTGAAGGAATGGTCTTCAAATATATTATTACATCTTGGAACAGTCATCACAAAATTACTATGTGTTACTTTGCTAGTATGTGTAGCACTTTGAATGTTGTCAATGGATATTTAGTATGTTATCTTTCACTACGTATGGAGTTTCTCAGACATATCTTTTGCCCATGTGAAATTTGAAGCTTGAGGGATGGTCAGAAATCAAAGGCAAATGGCCGCTGTGCATGTGAGGATGTAATCCACAGGGAATCTGTCTAGACATGTTGGGTTTGCTGGGCAAGGCTATGCCAAACACATCACCAATAGCAATGTAGCAATTCAGTTCAACACATCTGATCATAAATTTTCTGAAAAGAAAGGGCAGAGGGGCTGAAAGTCAGAGGAAAAAAGCCATTAGCTTAAATATAAACTGTGAAAACAATCTATAAACAAAAAGTGCCACAGCATCAGAGGTTCTTAAAAACTTTGGCTGTCCTTCACAAAATACAATGACAACTTAAGATCGCCAGTTTTGTTCATTTAATAAACCAAGTTAAAATTTTTAGTTTTAGCACATAGCCTGAAATTGAAGAGAAACAATTTATTCGTTGCTGAATGCTTCAGAAAATGAAGAATCGATGTTTTCTTATGGTTTATACTCTGCTAATTCTAATGATCATTTTAGGTGGGTATCTTATCTGCTGTGCCGCATTTAGTGATGACAATTATTGTTCCTATTGGGGGACAAATTGCAGACTTTTTAAGAAGCAGGCAGATTCTTTCAACCACTACTGTGAGAAAGATAATGAACTGTGGAGGTAAGTCTTCCTATTTTATTAAAAAGCTTCTTGTACAGGTTCAATGTCCATATAGTATGCTGTATACAGTAAACAAACAGTGTGGTTTTATGTACTTATGAATCAATACTTTGTGCATTTTTTGTGTATTACAAATGTGGTTACTAAATAAAAGTAAACACAGTTGTTCCTGTTCCCAGTTTCAATATAGATGTTTGGTATTTGAAAAAGCATTGAGACTGTTAAAGAAACAGATGGGCTTTTGGGGGATAATTTGCCTACCCTTATCTACTTACTGAATCTGAGCTCCTCATCTAAACACCCTCTGCACTAAGAGAGCCCAGACAACTACCTGAGATTATGTATCTGACTTCCGAGAGGTTAAAGTCACATGAGCTGAATCCTGGCTGTGTGTCACGGTTTAACCTCAGTGGGCAACTGAGCACCACACAGCCGCTCGCTCACTCCCCACCCCCCCGGTGGGATGGGGGAGAGAATTGGAAGAGTAAAAGTGAGAAAACTTGTGGGTTGAGATAAAAACAGTTTAATAATTCAAATAAAATAAAAAAAAATAATAACAGTAATAATAAGAAGAAGAATATACAAAGCAAGTGATGCACAGTGCAATTGCTCACCACCCGCCGACCGATGCCCAGCCAGTCCCCGAGCAGCGGCCCCCCCGGCCAGCTTTCCCCCAGTTTATGTACTGAGCGTGACGTCACATGGTATGGAATGTCCCTTTGGCCAGTCTGGGTCAGCTGTCCTGGCTGTGCCCCCTCCCAGCTTCTCGCTGGCAGAGCATGGGAAGCTGAAAAGTCCTTGACTAGTGTAAGCACTGCTCAGCAACAACTAAAACATCGGTGTGTTATCAACATTATTCTCATCCTAAATCCAAAACACAGCACTGTGCCAGCTGCCAGGAAGAAAATTAACTCTATCCCAGCCGAAACCAGGACACTGTGATAAGGGTTGTAAAATTCATAGGCAGCTTAAGCGTATATACCCATTAGGGTTGGCTGGAATGACCCGACCAAATCACAAGTATTTCTTTTCATCTTAAAATTGACAGGAAGTAACAATAAATTAGCATCCGAAGAATAAAATAAGGATTACGTGAGATAGCAAGAACATGTGTTTTTTAGGGATGAAAGAAATACCTGATTATATTCCACTCTGAGGTAATGTTTTGCTGCTGTCTTCCCATGAAATATTACCATATCCTAAGGCCTGCAATATTTGAGGGGGAATTAAATCTGATGCCTGGTTTTCTTTATGATTTCCCAAGGTTTTGGTATGGAAGCAACTCTTCTTCTCGTGGTGGGATATTCTCACAGTAAAGGAGTGGCTATTTCATTCTTAGTGCTTGCTGTAGGCTTTAGTGGATTCGCCATATCTGGTAAGATTATATAAGTGTTATTAGTAAATTATTTTATCTTAAGAGATAGAACATCTCATTGGGTTTTTATTCATTGACAGTAATTTAAACAAACCTCAGAATTCCAAATGACATGATTTATGATCATTACAAAGGAAAGCACAATCAGTACCACATCTTCTATATTAGATTATTTTTGTTGAAATGCTTCAATTTTTTCATATTCATTGCAGCAAATTAGACTTTCTTTTCAGTAAGGTGTTAATGTACACCATAGATTTTTCTTGAAATCAAACATATAACACAAATGGACTGATATTATACAATGATACCTGAATTTACATGTCTCTGTTTAAATATAGGCTTTTTACTATTTTTTTCCACTGTATATTAGTTAATGCTTTGTTAGTGTTGCATTTTTTTATTACTTTGGGGCCTAATTACTAGCAATTTTTTTCTGATTTAAAGTTCTGCTGATATGTATTTCCCCTTTGCCTTTGCCTTTGCCTCTCCCAAACACAAGTCACCTGGCCTTCCCTTGTTTTCCCACTGTGATCTTCGCATCCTCTCCCATGCTGGTTCCTTATGTCTAAAACACGCTCTCTTTTCTTTTGTGCCAAACATCTAAACTCTCCTTAATCAAATCTCTCCTTAATCCCACGTATTCTGCAACGTATCATGCCTGTTTTGTACAACTTGAAAAGTGTATTGCACTTTTTCTAACAGTTATCCATATCATACTGCCTGCCTTTTCCCTTTTATTATCTTTCTGTATCCAAAGATTTGGTTTCTGTTTTCACTTACTTAAGTGCTTATTTTGGGGACAATGAGTTCTGTCACTTCAGAGAAGCATGTGTTTTTTCTAAGATTATTTAAATAGCTACTGCATAAATTTGAACAGAATTAAGCTGCTGGAAATACAAGAGAACAAAGAAATATTTATAAAAATAATTAATAAATCATTTATACATACTGTCTTTTTACTTCCTTCATTTTACCACTCAAGAACAGAAGGGAACTCCCTTCTGCTGGTCTGTGTGACAAAAAGAAAAATGTGGGCAATAGGAAAGGAAAGTGGTACCAGCTGGAAGAAGAAATGATGTGTTATTTACAGCATGAAATGGTCATGAATGACACTGCAAAAATATAAACCTTCTCCCTGCCTAAATATCTTCTGGGTTCTCTACTCCACACAGTCACTACTGGGATTTTTTAAAAAACTGCAATTTTGGGAAGAAAATACATTTGGTATCCTTTTAGAATATATTTTTAAAAGAAAATGAAAACCCAGAGTGTCTCTAGGAATATTTAACCATTATAAGCCTTTTAGAGAAAAAGAAATGCAATTAAACAGCCCAAATATGTCATAGTAAAATTGTCAAGTGATAGCCTTACTTTTCAGAACTGAAGTAATGCTCTGCTTTTGGTATGAATGTTTGCTGACCTTTGTATTGCAGGATTCAATGTCAACCATTTAGACATTGCCCCGAGGTATGCCAGCATCTTAATGGGGATTTCTAATGGAGTCGGGACCTTGTCTGGAATGGTTTGCCCTATAATTGTTGGAGCAATGACAAAGAACAAGGTAAACGGCAATACAGTTTTCAAATCTTCCAGTTTAATACCATTGGTTTCAAGAAAAAGACCTTTCCATAGCACGACTTGCCAGAATATCCGTATTAGAGTCTGGGACCTCTAGGGGATAGCATCCGGGAACTTGTAAATTTGAAGCATGCTTCACTATATGTTCACTAGGTCAATCCTTTTGTAGGCTAATGAATAGTGATTGTTCAAAGGAAGAAATAATTAGAAACTGGACACTTAAATGTTTTAGTTGTGCTGACTGTCACTGCCTCAATCTCTAATTTAAATCTTTCTGCTCAGAAGAGTTAGATAAGTCTACACACTACTCTGATTTAGCAAATTTCTTCTTTACAGACACGTGAAGAGTGGCAGTATGTCTTCCTCATTGCTGCTTTAGTTCATTATGGAGGTGTTATATTCTATGGCATATTTGCTTCAGGAGAGAAACAACCCTGGGCAGACCCTGAACAGACAAGTGAAGAGAAATGTGGCTTTATTCATGAAGATGAACTTGCTGAAGAGACAGGGGACATTACTCAGAATTATGTAAATTACGGTACCACCAAGTCTTATGGTGCTACAACCCAGGTCAACGGTGGCTGGCCTAATGGTTGGGAGAAAAAAGAGGAATTTGTACAAGAGGAAGTACAAGACTCATACAACTACAAGGAAGGAGATTATTCATAACAAACCTAAATATTGGGTATATTTTGTAGTGTTTGTGATTAAATTCATTGTGATTGTTTGCACACAGAAATAAAATGTGGTATAAACATGTAAACACATATCAAACAGGAAGGTCTTACTGTAAAAAAAATCCATTAAAGTGCAATCTGTATGAGTTGTGACATGTCATCACTTTCATTAGGTTATATTCGTTCTATAAACATTAGAGTTTTAAGGATTTACTGGTCAAAACTATAGAGGCAATTATATACTTACAGTATACAAGAGCTAAAACTCGTAACTAAGGATTAAAGCACAACTAAGCAACCAAGTTGGCACATCTAATGCTCTTTTTAGAAAGCCAAAATTACTTGATCATTAAAAATGCACTTATATATTTGTTACACTGTATTGAAAGAGATTGTGTTAAATACACACGTTTACTCAGTGCAATGTAAGAATTGTGTGTTTAGTCTAAGACAAGAGTTTTCTTAAAGAAGAAAGGTTGAGTCCTAGGCATTTACAGAGGATTGATCCAGTTCCTTTAATGGTAATTGTATCAAGCCCAAAGAACAAATAGGGCATATTGTATGTTTATCGTGATTACATGCTGCAGGCTACTCTGTGATGAATAAAGGAATTATTTAGGAGTTTTATACTGAATGTTTGGGCACAAATTCTTATTTCTATTCTTTACAGAATCTTATGAAATTATAGGCATTATCATGTTCTTCCCTGCATTTATCAACTAATATAAAAACAATACATAATGCTAAGCCTGACTTCTCATGCAGACTGTCAAATCCCTTTATCAGAAAACAAGCTTTATTATTCTTTTCTTTACAGTATACTCCAACTTTGTACTGGTGTCTTTAGAAAGAGAGAAAAAAACAATATAACCTAGAAAAAGATATAGTCTTTTACAAAATTCCAAAGAGAAATTTACTATGAGCAAGTAGCCCTATGAAAAAGGATGTATTTGTTTTGCAGAATATTTTGAAACCAATAGAAAAAACAGAGAATAATTTAACCCTTATTCTTCCCTTAATAGCTTTCATATTTTTACACATCGTGCCACAGTTGTATACATAGATATGTTTATTGAAGATACTGTAATTATAGAAAATGTTGCTATTTTAGAAATCCCTGAAATAAAAAATGTATTTGTCTTTCGATTAAACCTAATAATAATGGACACTGAATATGAGTGACATATAAACTCACAATAAACCAAAGTGGCAAATAACTAGTGTTGGGTTGAAAGAAGCCAACAAGCATCACGCTTGTCTTTTTAGCATAACTCAACAGTGACTGCAACATTAGTGTACCAAGCAATAAGTGCAATGCATTATGAAGTGCATAATCTTCTAGACTATATATTAACCTTCATTTAGCTTGTTGTATATATTTGGGGTTGTTGGGATTAAACCGAACTGAACCAAACTGAAGTTAGCAACACCAGACCACTTCTTAATACTCTAAAATGACAACAATGATCCATTTCTTAATTCAATCAAATGATTATTATTGTATGTAATAATCCATTCTGGATTCTTGGTCTGTTCATTGTATTGTGCTAGTGATTGGAAACCCTGCTACCGCAATATACAACTTGAGGATTGTTTCTTCTCCTTTTTTTTAATGCAAATCATACCTTGACCTTAAGAAAAAAATATTTTGCTTTGTGCCTCAAAGTGATGTAAAATGTGACCATAGCTTTTGCTGTGTTTAATGAAAAAGATGTGGACTGTGTCACTTTTGTTGCTGCAAAAAGTGTTAATAAAATGCTCTATTTATCCTTTTATATAAAAAAGGACCATTGTAGTTTCTTGTCATTTTTTTAGATGCACTTTAATATAGGTGACTATAGTCACAGCAGAACAAATTCTGCTATTGACATGGAGATGATATCTTATGTCCCAGCTGGGAGGTATGCTGAATACCCAATGTCCTGCATTGTCTACTCTCTCCTCTGACCACACACAAATGTGTGGTGGGAGAGGCATCTAACTCTAGATTGCTGTTCCTCCTCTCATAAGGTTGGCTGGAGTAGGCGTAGAAAAGAAAGGAGCAGGAGGATCGATGTGCCAGCCAATGCAGCGAAACTGGGAAAGGCAGACTAATCTGTGTTAGCTAAAGAGCTGGCATGGATCAGCATTCTCGAAAGAAAATGAAAAGCATCACAGACTGCTGTTCTTGGAATTTGTTTCCTTTCTTGCTCCTGCAACAAGACTCCTTAACTGAAACATAATGTTACTTTCCGTCCATCTTTGGATAGACCCTAGAGGAATCAGTAAATTCAACAAATCATATATTAAAAGTAAGACTTTTTCTAACAAAATTTTTACTCTTCAATAATTTTCTTGCACCAAGTAGAAGAATGTAGAAACACCAAACTCAACAAAAGGCTGCAAAACACTAGATAGAGCAGTAATGGGCCCAGTGTTTCTTACCAATAGACTAGCTGTCACGAGATGCTGAGTCAGGTAACACACAAAGTTACTGCTAATTATTTTGATGGACTGGTGTGATGTTGCCATAGAAACTGGGAAAACATGGAAAGTGGGATAAATAGGGGCTATAAAAGTACGGTTGTATTTATCATGGTAAGTGGACAGCTGAGAAAATGAAAACTAATTAACAAAATCAAAATCAATTCTTAGTTTTCAGTCTAATCTTACAGATTCTCTGTCTTTCAAAATTGTTTCAGTAATTTTCTTTCATTAATTTTCTTTCATTAAATACAGGTAATTTTTTCTCCTTATTAGTCTGACACCTTTTAATTACTTAGAACAAAGGAGAGACTTTCATCGAGGCATTAGACGTTGCACTGTTCAGCCATGCACAACTCAGTGAGAACTCAACAATTGCCTTTAAATGCTACGCCACTCTAAGACGCTCCACAATTCTCTTTCTAGCTCTCTGCTTCTGCTTTGACTCCTTTACTTCCTCTTTAAATGGCAGCGCAGAGGAATCCGTTCTTCTGGGAAGGAAAAGGAGCATGACAGGTTTTAAGATTTTTACTTCTTCACAGACTCCTATCCACAGAAAAATATAGGAAGCAATCATCAGGAACACGACTAACAAAGAAGAAGGGGAAATGGAGAAAATAATTGGGTTCTTGCAAAGGATGATTAGGTGAAGACGAGCAGCCACAGCTGGATCTGATTTAGGGAAAAGGAGAGTTGAGGGGACATGACCCTTCATCTAAACTCCTATGTTTCTTCTCAGTAAATACGTTTATGTTTCTCCGTTGCTACTTCATTTTTATAAAGTAGCATTGCTAAAGTACACCTCTTCAGCCTCTTCTGAACTGTTCTCTTTCTGCCCAGAGATTTCTCTTCTGCACTCAGATTCAAAGACTAGCTCTGCAGACACCTTGTGCTTGTATGGCGCAGTGTTCCTCTTTTGGAACCCTTAGCAGCTCAAATCAGCCCCGTTTATCAATCAGGCTGTGTTCACAGTCACTTGATCATTTTGTCCTGTCACCTGTTTCTGTTCTGTTCCCCTATCTGGTACTCTCTGCTCACTTACTATGTTAAAAAAGAGGAAAGGAATTGTTACTCACATTTTTATTTATCAGTTAGTTATCTTTTCAGTGAAGAACAATAGTCATCTTTTCAGTGAAGAACAGTAAGTAAAAGGAAGGGGCAGAATCCAGGCTCCATTAAAATAATTAGGAAAGCTTTGAGTTTAGATGGGCTAGAATATCACCTCAAATGTTGACCTTTATGTCCTCAAATGATTTCATATAGATAGTATCTCTCAACCAGTGACAATTTTTAAAATATTTGAATCTGCATTGGTCAGATCCCTTCTGTTAACACATACCCTTTGTTGCAGAGATAAAGCTGTCATAAAGTGCTCTTTGCTTTCAGAAGTGATCATGAAATTCAATGGACCAAATTTCATAAAAACACTTTTCTATGGGGGAAAAGAAAGCCTCAAGGTAAAGGTTGAATAACAGTGACAAAAGAATATCTGCAAATATGAATGAAGTCCTCTTTCAGCATGAAGCTAGGAATAGGAATGAATGTGGAAGTCAGAATAAATGTCACAGTTCAAAGCCATACTGTTAGAAAGATAACATCACAGTCTTAGTTGCTGCCTCTGAAAGATGAAATGTTTTGTTCCTTTCAGGATAAGCTGTGAAGGAGTTTGAAGGCTAGTCTAAGTTAGATTAACTACTTAACAGCAGCTGCTTTTGTACTTATTTTGAATTTGTCTGTGTTTTTTGCTTGAATAATTTTCAATGCACTGGGAGATTTAAGAATAAATAATCAAAGGACCTAGAACTACAGTCAGATATTTTAATTAGATATCTACGTATATCCTCTCTGATCCAGCTAATATGTCTGATGTTGCTATTCTGGCCTTGCTTAACACTTTTTCACTCTGTTGTAAGCCAAAGCACAGCAAAGAATGAAACGTATTACGTATTTACATATGTACAACTACTGAAGCCTGTGTATTTAGTTATACTGAGGTCAAGTGCTTAGACAGTACCTTCCACATTTGAGAATTAATGTTACAAAATGATTGGTGGCAAATGTCTCCTCGGTAAAGCTTTTAACATCAGAAACATATATTCCTTGCAATTTTCGCTTTAGGTGAAGGCACATTCTCTCAACTGCCATGGGTGAGGCATTAGAAAACAATACAAAATAAGATTTTGAGCGAGTCCAACCTCTGGCAGGCTCTTATCTATAAGAAAGTAAGTAGAGAATAAGTATGAAAGGCAGGTGTAATGTCACACATAAAATATAGGGATAAGTTAGAAATTACAGGAAATAAAGTGTTGTAGGAAATTTAAGGAAAAGCTTATAGAAGAGCTGCCAAATTTTCTCACTTTTGGTCATGGCAGTAGTGAGAAGAAAAAAACTGAACATGAAGTCCTAAATATCTGGTCCACCCTATCCTGAGTCTAAGGTATGGTCAAAAATTGGCTCAGAAGCTGATTACCACATTCTGGCTGCGCCCTACCTTGTCCTACCATAGTTTCTAACATCTTTCTCTGTCAGGGCCACGAGGGCACTTATAGACCTTAATTGCCCTGAGCATCCTGCCCTTGGGACCCCCACTTGCACCCCCATCCATGACCCAGGAGCACCATTTCAGCTCAGGCCTGGGCTTCCCTGTCTCTGGTCTGTCTCCTGAATAGAAGTTGGATTTATGTTGTGTCCTTGTCTCCTGTCCTGCCTCTGGCTCGTCTCCTGTTGCTCCTGAGAGGGCTTTCTGGATGGACCCTGGACCTGATTCATTCCTTGCTGCCTCTGGGACCATTGGTGGAGCTAGCACCCTGCTCTGCCCACGCTGCTCAGACCCTGTAGGACTGCACCCTGGTCAATAATGGCACAGCCAGCAGCTGGGTCACCCTCAGCTCGTGGCTCATTTCCCTAGTGAGCTGTCCTTCCTGCTCTTCCTGCTCCCTGTTGGACACTTTCCATGTTGTGCCAGTGATAGTCCAAGGAGACTTGCTAAACTTCACATATGGTCAATTCACAATCCTGAGATTAAGCACCTTTGTTAGTCCCTGAAGAAGCAGAAACGTGCATAATGATCTTATCATTATTTTCTTAAAATACAATGAAACATGCTGATGTGTTGGACAGGAGATTTAACCTGCCAGATGCCAGAGCATACTGCTTCATTAGTAGTAGTAGGTTTTGGATTCCTACTTAAAGTCTGTCTCTCTCACAGATGCACTCTGCCATCATGGATATGCTCATGGTGCCAGTTTCCTTTTCCAGGAGGAGCTATGTTTCATTCATCAGTGTGTCTTGATGGAACTGAACCAAGTTTTCATCCTTGCACCCACTACCAGCTTTCTTCACTGTGTACAGGAAGCTGCTATTACTATCCTCAGTCCTTCTGCTGGAGATGATCAGCATTTGCTTGCACTTTAACTAGCTTTTCAAAACCAATATATCTTTACACTACTTCTGGCTGGGCACTGTTGCACGATGGCATACTGTCTGCTCACAAAAGTATGGAAGCAAATTATGTTCTTGATCTTTGCACTAACTAGGGTCAGCAGTTAAAACTGATGGTTTGCAAAACTGGCGATCAAGGCATTATAAAGAGTCACACAACCTTGTACAACTGACAAGGAGTTGATGATGAGGTGTTGCTTGTACCCTGAGGATCAAATGGCAGGTTCTGTGCACAAAGAACAGTGAATGAGATGAACATTTGACATGGACAAACAGTACAGCTATATTTGGTTTAGCAAGATCCCAATTCATACTAAGTAGTATGAATTCATTCACATCTACTCTGACTGTGACACCTTGAACACTCAATATATAATTTATACATGTGCAAATTTACTTCCTCTACTGCTTTTCTTTCAGAAAATGCAGAGATTACATATGTCATTAGCAACCTAACAAAATAAATTGGTTAACTTAATCAGCAACAGGAAGAATTTTATTTCAAATGGTAAACATACCTTATATGAGAAAGATAGCAGCCGTCCACAAAAAAGATGGTTATTAAAATTAATCCAATTGTAAAACTTCACTTAAAATTTAACATGAACGACATTAGAGTATTATTCTAGGTTTGTATATACATACACATACATGTACATACAATATGCACATATATATGTACATAATACACAGATATTTGAAGCAGTAATAGGAGAGAAATCTTAGTGTACACAGATTTTAGTTCTGTTTTGACCTGTTCAAAATCCTAATGTATCCTCAGCAAGTTCAAATAGCACTTACATAAGTCTCCTCTCAAAACCATTACAATCTACAATAAACATGGACATCAGCAACAAGTAACAAAAATTTTAAATCATTC